CACACACACACACACACACACACACACACACACACACACACACACACCTCAACTCCACCTTCAGTCCGTGTTCCTGCCTTCCTCCTCTTTTCCTTCAAGGTCTTAACACTTAATCATTAAACACTTTGTTTTTTCTTCTGCATATCATTTTCCCGTCCGGCCCTCACCGCCTGAGCTACTTTATACCGTGTGTGTGTGTTTTAACTAGCCACTGGACACAACACAGCCATCGAGCACAGTTTGATTTTTATCTCCTTTAAGCAGCCCCAGTCACATTTTCCCAGGGGCTGCTCTATGTGTGTGTGTGTGCGTTTCCAGATGACTGAGCCAGGCTTTTCCATTCCCCGCTGTGGTGCTGTGGTGAATATAGAAGTAACCCCCGGGCCAACATTTACACCACCGCCGCTGCTGCTGCTGCTTCTCAACAGAGAGAGGCGGTGAAGGAAAGACTGGAGAGCAGCAGTTGACCCATCCGGTGGCCTGAACACACACACACACACACACACACACACACACACACAGACCACCACCCCCCCCTCAGAAGAACACACCAATAATTACTTGCAGTAATTCAAAGACACCCTCCTTATTTCCAGCAGCTCACTGCCCGCGGCGTGAAAAAACCCGTGAGAGGAAACCAGGAGGAAACGTCAAGCGCCCACGAACATTTAGGTCAGAAAATCTGAAAACACAATTAAACATCTCACAAAGAACTCAACCCCCGACACTAACCTCGTAGAGCTCTGCAGAAACAACACACTACATGTCGTCGTGCACGTCTATCGACTTCTTGGGTTCTTTTGGGTCTCTTCACAGAATATCACAATCTGTATTTTAGAAAGATTTCCACACACACTCAGCCGTCTGAGGTGGGTTTTTAAGTCGTCTGTCAGCACTTGGGGGGGCTTTTTCTTTTTTATTCCTCGCAGCCAATGAAGTGACAGGAAGATGAACAGAGACTCATTTTGTCCAGGGGTCCCTTTGGGAACCTTTTTAGCACCATTTTGACCCCCAAAGTTTGAGAATCCAACTGCTGAATTACACAGATTTTACTCATGCACGATGACAGCTGACAAACATCAACTTCCCCCGGATATTTGCTTATGTTTAGGACAATAACTTTGCATTCTCTGCAGAAGAAGAGGAGGAGGAATCGAGCTTATGCAGAAGTCAGAAGTAAAGATGCAGGAAATGCAGTTTGCAGAGGGTTTTTTTTTTTAATACTTTTTGCATTGGGTTGAAAAGCCCATATGAATGAGGGAGCAGTAACACAAGCCTGCAAAAAACAACCACAATTGCTGTTTTGTTGCAGCTGGAGTGCTGCAACAACCACATCCTTACAAAATAAAACCCCTGCAGTAAAAACACTATGCAAATAAGAAGCCAAAAGTCGAGTTACATGCATAAATATTAAGAAAATGATATGTTACATGTAACAAAGTGCAGTACAAACTCACACATAAAGTCAATTGTTATGGTAAACTCACTTTAGTGATGATGAGTGGCTCCGCGTGCTCGAGCCCTCCTTTCAGCGTGAACCCCCAAGGCGCGCCCCCGCTCAACTGGACCTGAATGTGGTGGAAAGAGACGAGCTGCTCAACCGTTTCCATTCTCTCTCCCAACGACGGTTCCGTTGAAACGTTTAGCGGTGCCTCGGCTCCTCCATCGCCGCTCCGACAACAACGAATGGATGGATGGAAGGACGGAGTGAGCGGAGGAAAAGGGGGGAGGAGGAAAGAAGTTTTAGCAATAGTGTCAAGTTCGTGAACGTTACGACCAATGAGTCGGTTGCAACTTCCGGTCAAGGTGTTTAACGCTGACAAAAAGTAGACGTTGGCATATTTTACAGTTCCAATCTCGCTTGTTACTTTATCCCACGATTATACGGGTTGTTTTGTTTCATACTTTAACCTATTAGCATGCTCAAATCCGACAGAAATAGCAGACATAACGCTTTTATCTTGAAATCTAAATCATACATTTCCGGTTACTCTTGCCAGCTCAAAACTTTGGAAAAAACTTTTGGAATCGAGGTAGGCGGCCCCGCCCACTAATTCCAACAGGCGGGAGGTGACTGACAGCAAGATCCGCCAATAGCAGAGAGGCTCGGGCAGCACGTGTCCAATGAGAAACGAGGAGGGGGAGGGACAACATCAGGCCAGCTCACGGTGAACAACTACAACCAAATCACGGCCACAGAAGAGACTCATTTGTAACACGACACCCGCCAATTTACCACCGACCCCTGCGGAAACTATCATCATTTCTTTTAAAGACAACATGCCGAATTCATACCCGAAAAACAAAGAGTATTTTAGTGCTCCAACAATAATATTTAGAAGGCTTATTGTACAAATACCACGACAAAACTACAAATACCACGGAAATAACCTGTCATTTTGGCTACTACAGGAACATATCACAGGGGAAGTAACTCAAGTACTACTGAGTGGAAACGTACCACACTAGTGCATTTACATAAGTACTATATTGCTGTACTTCTACTTAAGTATTTCCAGTTTCTGCTACTTTATACTTCTATTCTGCACAAATTCATTAATTGCGCCAATTATTGTTATTTTATTTACTTAATATCTTTAGTTATAATACAAACAATAATCCACAAATAAATGTATTAATATAGATTAAACTATCAATCACAAGCTACCCAGTAGTGTATAAAGTCATTTAAATTAGCTTCACCTTCGGCAACATTAAGGTGATAATTATAATTCAATATTAGGATATATTCTGAAATGTGCAATTATTAATTGATAATATATATTGAATGCACAATGCATACTTTTATTTCAGATATAAGTACATTTAGCTGAAAATAAATATGTTAAAATGCTGTTTTGAGTTGCTCTCTGCTAGAATGAATGCTCTCTTTTATTTACGTGAAACATAAAACGTAATACAAATCTTCATTCCTCCACACTGAAGCTCTGCAGAATGAACCACACGTACCAGCCTGCTGTACTGCAGGCCAACAACAACATTCTCCATCTAGCAGCTCTCAGAAAGGAGCCGCACTTACTGCTCGCAACGACATTCCCACTGTTGTTTATTATCTTTATTTATTCTAAGCTTACATGACAATTTAGGGACTGTATTTAGCTGACAAAAATGTGTAATCAAACTTCCTTCAGATAGCTTTTGAATCTGCTTTATATGGAAATAATGCAAAAATGGAGAGTTCTGGGAGTTGAAGTTGAAACCGTTTTCCCACACTCTCCCTGCAGGCTGAAGTGATCGGGGCTGCAGATAATCACTGTTGTGGAATGTCACCACGCTGCAGCGCCACTTAACTGGATGTGTGTGTGTGAACGAGTGGACATCTTTGTGTGTGTGTGTGTCAAGAGAAAGAGCAAAGTAAGACGAGGGGAATGAAAGATGTGAACATGTCCAGACACTTCTCATCCACACCACCAGCAGTTTGTTTTGGTTCGATCAGACAACATGTTTCAGACTTTTAGCAGAAACTGCAGATCCCAAAGCTCTCAGGCTTCAACTTATACAAAAACAAACAAACAAGTTATATTTAAACCAAAGACCAAGACAAGAAGTAACAAAAAGTGGTGGAAGACATACTCAGATCCTTCAGTTATGTTAAAATACGTATTTCTACTGTAAAATCACATCACTGGGAGGAATTTTACCAGGAAGCTACTTTACAATTTACAGTACAATTAAATGTAGAAATACGGTAACTTATTATAATCCAAATGTACATTAATGTCAGCGGTAAGCAGTAAAATACTGTAAAATAAAACACCTGATCGTTGGGATCATGGGATAAGCGTTATGACTCCCAGAATGCATTGCTTTCACAGCAATATACAGTATAAGGATATGACAGAAGAAAATATCACAGGAAAGTTTTACATTGCTGTAAAAATACTCCAATGATAAGTAAAAGTCCTGAATTCAAAGTGTTGATTAAAAGTACAGAAGTTTTATAAGAAAAAAGCACTTTAGGTTTAAAAAGTTAAAGATTTTATTCTTAAGAACGTCGAAAAGCATTTTAATGTAGTTTGTCAATGTGGAACCAATTTTAACTGCATCACATATCATTTAATTCCCTCTGAATTGTAGAGTAGAAGTACTTTCACAGTATTTCATGAAGTACACTTTATTTGAGCAAAGTACCTTGTTACCACCTGGTGGCGCCAGAGCTCATGATGTTCACCTCTCACACAGGTGTGATCAAAATAAAAAGCTTTTCTTAAGTCAACTGAATCCTTTCAAGAATTCAGATGTTATGTGGAGCGTGTTGTTGTTTGTCTGTTTTTAGTGACGTGTAAACTGTTTCCTCTTTCTCGTTTGTGTTGGACAGTGAAACATGGAAACCCCTGATCTCCGAAATTTAAACATTTATGTCAACTAAGAGAGTTTGCTGCTCATCTCGGCCACATTACAGTTCAGAGGAGGAAACAGTCATTCTCTGGAGACCGTTTATTGATTTTATTGAAGTATGCTACTTGTGCCAAATATTATAGATTGTTTTTTTCTTATTTTTATACTTAATGAAACAATTTTCTTTATCTGATTCAAATATAGGTTATTTATTATTGGCATAAAATCAAGAAACATTAAGTCACGTTAGTCTAGTTATAAATCTAAACATTTTTGTTTCACCTTTTAAAAAAGTTATCAGCAACACAATAAAGAAATGTATTAAAACACATATATATATACTATGTTATCTGAAGATGAAATGTCATCACATTGAATACTGTTTATAAATAATAAAAACTGTAAAGTTTCCTGATGGATCAAGAAAAGTGGCACAATGTGTAGATATTTTAAAAACGATTGTTTCCACCAAAGTCAGTGCAAAAATACAAAACAAGCACGAGAATAAACAAAGACTATCTGCTAATTTGTGCAGGATGCGCAATAAAATAATCGTTAAAACGGATCCATATTAGCACTCTGGGTACATCCCAAGTCTCTTAATTCTCATTTCCTCGCTCCTCGATCCTCGCTTGAACCGGAAGTTGTTCTGCGCCGCCATATTGACGGCCGTCCCAAAGCTCTAATGTAGCTCGGAGGATCGAGGATGAGGGAGGACCCACGAGAACAGACTTCCAGGAAGTGTTTCAACGGCCGACACGCCCCCTCATTGTTCATCTGTCATGTGATTGGACGCTGCAGCTGATCGGACTGATGAGATTTTGTTCAACATGTAAACAGTGAAGACGATCACAGATTAAAATCTAGTTTATATTTGATTCGTTTATGATTCAACATCTGGTTTAAATAAATGTTCATTGTAGTCTGAACAACAAAAGGACCACAAACAACTTTCTTCATTTATTAGAAAGATTTGTGTTTTCATGATCTGAACTTTTATCATTTAAGAGAAACAATAATCATATTCTGGGTTATTTAATATCGACGTCACAATCTGAATTTCAAGACGTACAGACGCAAATAATTCATAAATAAGACGATCGCATTCCGCTGGTAGAAATGGATCCTGCGCTTCTAAACAGAACACAGGACAGTTTAACAGACTACAGAGAGAAACACCTCTACAGTGGTGATCACTGTGTGTCTTTATTAGCTATTAGTATTATTAGTTACTGTTATTAAGTACAGTGATCACGTGAACAGACACTAACTTATCAAAAGTCTCTCCAGCTGTTAAAGCCGACTGACAGCTGATCAGCTGTGATCATCAGCACCGTCATCAGAAACAGACGTTGCTTCACGTGACGCAACTGAGGAAAGGACGTCTCGTGTCTCTTAAAACATATTTCCTCGTTCCTCTCTCCTCGCATGGTTTCCTCCATGCATCCCTGGTGGGAGGGACTAGGACGCAAGGAAAGGACCCAAGTGAGGGAAAAAGTTGGGATGTACCCTTTGACGCACCTTTACGCACCAGTCACGTGGCCTCCTCACACTACTTGTTGCGCTTCACGCACGCACGAGGAGTTAATTGGAGGCCACAGTCAATTTGAGGAAGTCGTCCAAAATGGCAGAGACCAGGTGAGCCCGTATATCCCGCCCTCTCGCCGCGCAGAGGATGGTTGCCAGCTACAGCCTCGTGCGTGGAGCTCGCTAGCACCAGAGGTTGTTGCTGTTGTTTTATACCAAACATGAAGGCCAAACACTGCTTACTGCGTGTCTGCGTCCTCTCCTGTTTCGTCCTCCTGTTGTCCTCCATCTGCACCTGCGGAGCGGGGGCCTCCCATGACCGCGCGCTCAGGCGCAGCCGTCGGAGTCACAAGAGCGCGCACCAGCACCACCACCGGCCGCTGACGGACGAGCAGAAGGCGGACCAGAACCTGCAGTTCATGTTGAGCCTGTACCGGAGCGCCGCCGAGCCGGACGGCAGGCCCAAACAGCACCGGAAGTTCGGCTCCAACACGGTGAGACTGCTGAGGCCGTCGGCGTCGTCGGTGCGCCACCTGCCGGCCTCGAGAGGTGAGACTTCAGCTAATTACTACTGGTGGAAAGTTATCAAGTACTTAATCAGGTACTGAAAGTACTCCAAAGTACAATTTAGAGCTACTTTACATGAGTATTTCCATTTGATGCTACTTTACTCGGAGGTGAATATTGCACTTCTTTCACTGCATTATATGTTCTATCTATCTTACAATGAAGCAATGTTTAATCCACATTGTTTTTTTTCACTGGTTTAACACCAAAAACACCTCAATCTTTAAGAACGAGGCAGAAAGTTTCAAACTGATTATCATACAGAATATCTGTCTGTTTTCTTTTCTTGTTTTTGAAACAGATTTTATTTTTGACTCAGAACTGAGGGAGTAAGATTTAAAAATAGTTGTAGTTCTTGTTGTGGGGCAAGCTCCAAAAACACTACACTTCCCATAATGCAACTTGATAGAACTTTCACTCTTCCTGTTTTGTGAGGAAAAGGCAATCGGCCCAAAGCGTCTTGGGTAAAAAGTCGTCTCTCTTTAACGATGTGTGATTCACCTCTTCTCTCCTTCAGACCACCACTACAGCTTCACAGTGCAGTACCACCTGGACACGGTTCCCTCAGAGGAGCTGATCAGAGCCTCATTCATCCACCTCCGCTCCACCACCACCACCTCCTCCACAGCCACCCAACCCGTCATGCCGCCCCGCTGCAGGGCTCAGATCACCTCACTGGGCAAAGCGAGCCTGGTCACCCTCGAGCCCCACGAGCAGTGGACCGAGACGGACATCACCGCCCACGTGCAGCAGGGGAAGAACCGCGGCCCGGGGCGACACTTGACCCTCACGGCCCAGTACTGGTGCACGGAGGCCCGGCACGCCGAGGAGGACGGCGGCCTCTCGGGGTGGCGGTCTGGAAGACGGAGGAGGGAACCTCACCTCGAGGTGCCGTCTCTTCTTTTATACCTGGAGGAGGAGCGGGAAGTGAAGGACTGGATGGGGGACTTGCTGGGGGTCGGAGGGGAGAACGTCACCAAGCAAATCGGCCAGTGGCATCCTTCCATCCGCCGCCGCCGCTCCAAAGACTCCTCGCTTTCAGACGCCAAAGACACGTCGCTGGATGTTCTGAAGAACGCCTCCGCTTCCTCCTCCTCGTTCTCCACCTCCCCCTCGTCCTCCATCATCTCCAACATCCCTGAGTACAAGCGCAAAACTAGCGTGCCCAAGAACCGCTGCAAGCTCCACTCGTTCCGCCTCTCCTTCGACGAGCTCGGCTGGCACGACTTCATCGCGCCGCCGGTGTACAACCCGCGCTTCTGCCAGGGCGTGTGCCCCCGGGTGCTGTCGTACGGCTTCCACTCGCCCAACCACGCCATCATCCAGACGTTCATCAACGACCTGGGCGCCGGGGACGTCCCGCCGCCGTCCTGCGTGCCTTACAAGTACATGCCCATGAGCGTGCTGGTGGTGCACAAGAAGAAGGTGGAGTACAGGGAGCTGGAGGACATGGTCGCCGAGTCGTGCACGTGTCGCTGAGGGAGAGGATACGCTTAGCACTGAGAGAAGAGACTTACAAATATGGAAAGGGGGGGGTGGTTTGATGGGTCATTTGTTCGACCTCCAGCTTGGCGGATAATGAGCTCGAGACGTGAGGCAGGAAGTGGTTTCAGATCTTCACCGTTAAAGCACTTTAAAGAGGCAGCGGCTGAACTTCACTCTCTGGGAGAGGAGGCGTCTAATTTAAAAAGCACTTTGCAGATCTGTGAATGAGCCGTTTTGCCATATTTATATTCACTCGTGTATTTCTCCTCCTGAGGTCAAAGGGAAACATTTGAAGCCGCTTCGCTAAACTTCCAGGCTAACAAAATAAATCTACGTTAACTTAATTAATAAAATAGATTTAAACATCAGGGGTAGCTTTTTTTTTTTTTTTTTTTTTTTTTTTTTTTAAGAAAACAAATTGAGGAGTCAAAGCTGGTTTGTTTGGGATATTAAACACGTGGAATCCATCTTCAATGTTCAATGAATATGTTCTTTCTTGTGCCCGTCTGTGTACACTTTTCTTTTTTGTCGTTCCTTTTTTTAAAACCTGATCTGTGTTTCATATCAGAGCTGAGAAGCAGCCCATAAAACGAAAAAACAATGTGTTTGTCTAAAACGAACAAAACATTCTGGATAGAACGTGTTTGCACTGTTTGATGCCACCCTGAGAAATTATGCACTGCTAAAAAAAATATATATTTTAATGTATGTTGGATGTAACTAACGTCGGAGTTGTTTTTGCGGTTTACAATCAACGTTTGCATTTGTATGTATTTATAACGGGAGGAGTCTCCAAAGAAACCTGAAGGAAGTGCTGCTGCTGGGCTGTCTGAGGAAAAGAAGACTAATCATGTTAAAGAAGTCAAACTGAAGTTTTGTAGTGCAATTTTTATTACGTGTGAAAATGGATAATACAATAAAATGCATGTTTTCTAAAACCTTAATTTATTGTCTTTTTTTAATGTAGTTGGAAGTGTGTTGTGTGAAATATTGATATTTACGGCGTCTAAAATCAAGATTGTGACTTTGAATGTGAAGGTTTAAGACGGTGCGGACGAGCTGAAGAAGATCGTGCGGTGTGGTCAAAAGCTCTGGAATAGATCGATTTAAAGGGACGCTTCAACATTTTGGGAAATATGGCTTTTGCCGTTTTATTGGGAGTTCTAAACTTTTGTATTTCCTCTGAGTTTCGTCAATTTAAATTATTTATGTATTGGTAGTATAAAGACAATTAAATACTTAATAATTACCATCGTGTCAGGAATGTACCCTGTGAAACTCTTTAATGAAATAAAACTCAATTTAGTTATTTGCACGGAATTGAGAATGACACAAAATTATGTAAAATTATATTTTATCAGTTAGACAAAAAAACCTTCCTAATATAATTATGAAACAGGAAACAAATCCAAGACAAACTACATATGCAAACAATAAATTGAACTTGCTGCTTAAAAAAACACGTAGAAACATTTTTAACCGTAATTTTTAGCAATCATCCTAAATGTCTAAATTATTAACCTACTTTTCTTTTATGCAAACAATCATTCTGTAAGAGATGAATGTATGAATTGCACATGGAGCCTTTTAACTTGAGTGAATTTAAAGGGTGCGTTATTGCATCGAGTCCAACAGATGGCGCTCTTCACCAAAGAGCCACAACGTTCCCACATGGAGACAGGAACCCTGAATCCAGCCGATGAAGTGGTGTCGTTGCTCGTGGTGTGTTCATGTATGTGGTTAGCGTGCAGTGATCTCTGCTCATGAACCTTGAGTGTTGGCCTCTTCTCTATCAGGAGCCTTTGAGGACGGTCATGAAGGAAAGCAGGTAACTGAAGCAAGGAGCAACTTCAGTAAAAACACATTGAAAAAGATGAAACCAAATATGTGTTTCTCGTTTATTATCCGTGGAATATTTTTTGTCGAATATCCTCAAAAGTTACATTGCAAGAAATCAGACAAAAGGGAAAATGATACGACACATACAAAAGGCATAAAACAGGCCACATGGCGATAAGAGGCTCTGTGGGGTTAAAAGGCTCGAGACATTTGTAAAAAATATATCAAATAAATGTAAAACCACGAGCTGAAACATTGCTGCCCCATCTAAGAAACAGTGTTTCCAAATTGAATAAACAAAAGTCTGATCAATACTTTACCCTTAACTTGACTATAAATCTGACCATATTCATAAATAATTCACAGAATTGAACATATAATACAGTACTTGGGTAATTTATCTGCTGTTTCTGTCGGGGAATTAATCACTCATGAGTAAAAAGCCAATACTTTATCAATACATCTGTTTATCAAGCATGTAAAAGAAAGTGAAACCTAAATCCAGAGGGTCATGTTGTTGCTTGCAATCTGCGACCTCACCTCTAGATGTCACTAAATCTGACACGCTGTCCCGTTAAAGGCAGAATGTACTCGAGTAAAGCTGGCAAGGGGATTCATCTTGATCTTTTCTGGACCCACCACTGAAGATCGGGATTGGAAGCATTTTAATTGCCTCTTGACGGCTCTCAACATGGCGGTGGCTAGCCGGGGGCTAAAAGCTAACGATGCTAACATGCACGAGCACGCTCTGAAAGCACGTTCTGCTGACTCGGCTGTGTCCAGAAAAGCAAATGAGAAGCTCGGAGGGTGACTTCATTCTCTGCTCAGGTAAACGATAATAGTTATTTGCTGCCATATCAATGCTCATCATATGGAATTTAGCACCCTGATTAATTCATCTTACATACAAATGATTTCCAGCCAGTATATGTTAAAGTGTGAATCATTATTTAGCAGATGAATTGCAGCTATGAAATTCACTTTGCTCAGTGTTCAGTGGGCCACAGAGTCAATGTTTACAGACATGCACATGCACACACCACCGCAGAACCCGGACAGAACCATGCAAACTCCACATGCTAGCCCGGGAATCAAACCCTCTCTTGCTGCGATGTGTTAGCCACCACACCACCGTGCAGCTTCTTTTATCCGTCGAGTTTCCCATCATGCTACATTCGCACGTGCATGGTGAGGTTTTTGTAAGCTGGCGTATGACGTCGCTTCCTTACCAGATTTCAGCAAACCATATCCTCAAACTGTACAGCAGTAAACATTTATTGCATTTGATGGGAAACAAGTTCTTTACTTCCCTGAGCTGCATTTGGACCTTGATAGTATCTTTATAAGATTGTTGATCAATGTGTTACACTGATTACTTTGTCACCTGCAGAGAAATGCAATGATGTGCTCTTTAAAAACAGCAATTAAGGATTTTAAAATGAACAAAAACGTGGCCCCAGTGGGTTAGAATGAGGTTATTAACAGTGAAAAAAAGGCTGTCTTTGAGGTAAAAGTGTATTTTATAAGAAAGGCGTGTTTGATTCAGCCACTGTCATCTTTATTATTCCTTCCTTTTGCCTGAGGATCCGCGGCGCTGATCTGTTACCGTAACATTTTGTTTATAGAGTGACTGGAAACCCTACCTGACTAGTTCCCTCAAGGGATTTTCGGATGTGTCTTTGTCGTTCTTATCTCCTCCGACAGATGTTGTAATGTCCTGAAATAAATAAAACGCTCACAGAAGCACGTGACTGATTCCCATAAAACGTGTTCAGTGTCCCATCACTAAACATATTTGACAGGTCAGTCGTTACAGGAAAGAAAAAGCAGCTTTTATTGGATCTTGTGTGCAGAGAGAAGGTGTGTGTGACGGGTGATGAAGTGAGTCACACTCACACGTGTTTGCATTTTCTGTATGCTGCGTCAGTGCTTTCATTTTCTTGCAGAAGTAGGATTCGTGCAGGAGTTTAGATATTAGCGTTAGGCCCTTCCTGCAAGTACGAACCATTACGACCGACTGCACACTGTGCATCAGGAGTCTTCAGGTTCTCAGGTGAAACACTTGAGAACCTGAAGGTAACTGGGTCCAACTACCCAGACACCCAGCAAATGCCTGTAAATCCAACTAAATTCCTGTATTTGACACTAGAAAATGTAAATATGAACTTTGTGTTCCTGCTCATTTGTGAATTACCTTTTTAAGAAAGAGATCAGAGATAAGCGCCAGCCAGCGATGAACTGTCCCCACATTCACTATCAGAGAGTTATTGGCTTTGATTCAAGGCCTGTCCTTAATTATAAGGCATTCTGGGTAACCCATTTCTCTGAAGCTCATCCTGCAAAGCCACATGAGGACTTGAAACTGGTCAGATGAGGTCATGTCTGACCTGCAACCTTTCCTTCGATCCATTTTTCCGAGCACCGATGGATCACTGAAGCGGCCGAGCGGGTACAGGTCCAGAGACCCAAAGTGTCAGGGGCCCCCGAGGCCTCCACATACAAAGACATAACTCAGAGAAAAACATACCATCCAGTAAGAGACTCAATATGAGCTCAAGACGTTACATAAAACAACTACAAAGAAATGAAAAGGAAATACAGAGGGACACAACGTGGCAACAAAGAGACTCACAGCAACTATGAAAAGCTGCAAAACAATCACATTCAGACACAAAGAAATAAAAAACAACCACAAAGAGACACAAAACAA